CCTCACTAATTTATCATATCAATTAAAACAATAAAATATATATGCAATAACTATTTAACATTAGTCCTCATTACAAAGCACTGAAATAGGAATCAATTAAAATCTGGCCTGAACAATATGTTTTATTAAAGCTTAGAAATTTAAAGAAACTAATAAGAAAAAAGAAAAAAGAAAAAAGAAGCTAAAACCTGACTTATAAGGGCAACAGGGTTATCTACCTAGCATAATATTCTGCAATTGAGTATTTAGTCTTTAATATTATGTTTGGGAAAGAACAAAATTACATATGACAACAAGGCACAAAAGTGAAACAATAACACTATTTACCATACACTCAAAGCACTTTATGCAGCTGCCATCCAGCCTTTAGCATAGCACATGTATTAGGGATGGCAAAATGGGCCGTAGCTCGCGGGCCGGCTCGCTGGCCCGCCAAAAATTAGCGGGTCGGGCCTAGCATTTCAGCCCGGCGGGTCAAATAGCGGGCTGGCCCGTCCCAACCCGCCAAGTCCGCATAGGTAATTTATTGATTTAGTGATTGAGTTAGTATAAATAATAGGCTTAATAAAAAAAAATTAGGCCCAATAGAACCCATTCCCAGCCACAGCCAAAATCTAAATCAATTCACTAGTTGTCATTTTTAACATTTTTCTTAAGTAACTGAAATTAATATTGGTACATGTTGGTGAATGCATAAAATTAACTGTAGAATGCGGGCCACTGCACAAGTGCTTATGTTATGTGTGCCTCCTTGTACTTATGGTAACAAGCAATGATTCTTTTTTTTATAATTTTTTTTCCATTTTTTTTTATTTAAAATAAAAAGTATTTTTTTTTTCCATTTTTTACAAAATATTTTTTGGGTATACGGGCCAGCCCGCCAACCTATCCTTAGGCGGGGCGGGCCAGCATTTTCAGCCCGTTTTCCTTGGCGGGCCAGCTCGGCCCGGCCCGTTTTTGGCGGGCCATTGACGGGGCGGATCAAAACGGGGCAGGCTGGCCCGTTTTGGCACCCCTAACATGTATCTCCCAATTTACCAAGAAACAGGATGAATTTCTTGTTTATGATATTAATATGAGTTAATCACATATATCATATTCTCATAAATCTCAAAACAAACAGCTAGCATGCCATCCTAAGACAATCCTTATGAATAAACAAGTATAGAAAAAATTCACTTTCTCAAGTGCTGTAGGCAGCTGATATACTAGTATGATAAAATATAAGGAATACAATCACAAATTTAACTGGTTTGAGTCCTTCTCCTTCCAAACCAAGTTATTTATTATAACCAGCAGCTTGATAATCCTAGCAATAAGAAGGAAAAAGGTAAACCTGCAAAAGCAAAAATGTTTAAGATGATGTAAAAAAGTATTGACTGACCTAAGGACTTCGTTTGTTTACTAATTTCAAAAACAGTTTCACATTTTTTAAGATTTATTTGTCCCTTGAGCATATTGTTGTTTTCTAGAAGTTTGTCTCCTAAATACCTGTTTTTGTTTTTCTGGTTTTAAAAACATCTGTTCTGGAAACAATTTTCAAACTTCAGTATATTTTAGATGAGAAATTGATTGCTGAGTAATGTATATTTGTTTGAAAAATAAATTTAGCAGGACTTTAGTGCAAAACCTTACTTTTTGCCTTTTAATTCTCTGAAAAAAAAAAAAAAAAACAGTTCACAACTCACAAGCTTGTTGTAAGTTGCAAGTATTTTAGTAAACAAAAATCATAAATTCTCAAGTTGTGGAAAAAGGAATCAAAAGTCTGCCAAGAAAAGAAAACCAAATGAAGATGGGGAAAAAATAAAAACAGAGTTTTCCTTCATTAGAAGTTAAACGCACCTGACTTGCAAAACGAGAATTAATGCAAGCAACCCCATGATTTATATAGATCAAAATAACAAGGGCAATTAAAATCAGTTACAGTGGTATAGCACACAAAAACATAATTTTTGTTTATATATTACATTTATTCTTATATACAAAAGCATTTCTAATGGAGAGTGTTTATAATATATCTTATTAATAAACATTTGTGCTTATTAGTAACTTTCGTTGAAATATGATAATTTGATACAAGAAATTGTTTAAAAATAAATAAATACTCTTAAATAAATAATGTTAATTATAAATTAAAAAATAATATTTTTTTAGCTTTACTCTTTCAATGAACAATAAAGAATACAAATTACTCCTACAAATATAAAAAAAGCATCTATGTATCATCAACCTTTCATCACTCACAAATTAAAAACTAGTGTTATATATTTTTCTTGGTTATGTAATTTCTTTGTTTTTAATATTTAATATTTTTTATACTCATTTAATGAATTGTGTAAATTTTATTATTAATTTTTATATGTTAAAATATTATTTATTATATCTATTAAATTAATGTTTAATTATAATAATTACATCAATTTTTTAACTTGACAAAAAAGTGAAGTGTAAATAAAAAACTTATAGAATTGTGGGTTGCTTATAAAATCCACCATTGAAACAAAATATGTAATGTAATATGAGTTGCTTAAGAATAATGTACATGATATATCTCATTTAAAATGAAATAAGAACCTTAATAAATTACTAATATTGAAGATGCTCTAAGACCCAATTACTTATTTTATCAAGATTAAGAAAAATAACTAATTTAGTTTATAACAATAAATTTGTCCAATTTATATATTTGTTTATATAACTGCCTTATAATAATATTTTTTCAATTAATATTCATATATCTCCAAATTAATTAGAGTGTATGTTTTTTTTAAAAAAATTATAATTAATATATTTTATCAAATTAAGAAAACATATTTTAATTAATTAAAAAAATAAAATTCATTATATATATATATATAACTACTCTTATATTGCTTTTTTCCCCCTAATTAATACGCATAGATCTTATATCTAACCAATTAAAGTACATGTTATCATGGTTGTCAATCTCTAGTGATAACTCATAAACTCGTACGAGTTTACGAGATTATGTCAGTTGACCTGTATAACTCGAGAGTAAACTCGTTTTTGAGTAATCTCGGTGATCTCGTGTAATCTTGCGAGATCAATCCCAAGTTTAAGAGATCACATTTTTTTTGTTCTCCACAAATGTTTGTTTTGGGTTAGGGTTGAAATGAGACTTTCATTTCACTCTCCCCTATTAGCAAAGATCTCCTTCACGGCTCTGCCGTGACGCTGTCTTCTCCCCGACAAAGGCAAACTGTCATGCGACCCGTGCGTTCTCCTCCGGTGAAGGCGCAAACCACTTCACCTCCGTCGTTCTCCATAGCGAACGACCACTTTCCTCCGAGAACGACCACTCTCTTCTGCGTGAATCATCTTCTCCTTTGTGCACGAACCACCATTCTCCTCCGTGAGCCTATCTTCTCCTCTGCAAGTCGTGCAGCTTCACAAGTCTACTTCTTCGCGAGTTTGTTATTTTACTCTTTAATATGGAGTTAAAATGTTCAATTATTATGTTATTTTTAATTATTTTTATAATTCTTTTATTGAGTAATCTCTTAAGAGTTTATGAAACCTCCACGAGATTACCTAAACTCTTGAGATTGACAATATTGCATGCTATAAATTATTTCTATATCCTAATTATACTTATTTTTCTCATAGTTAATTAAAGTGCATACTTGCTAAAAAAATCATAATTAATACATTTTATCAAATTAAGATAATACACTAATTTTAAACTAATATTTTAACATTCATAATGCAAGAATATATTTTTATTTTATATAATTTAAATTTATAAAAAATAAATAAGTTTTAATAAATAAATTACATTATAATTAAAACTTATGCTAAATAAATATTTTATTATATAAATTATATTTTATGTTCATGTTAAATAATTTATATCGTGATATTCAAGATTATTTGCAAGCTATTGATAATTTTTAAGTAAATATTAAAATTTAATTTAAAAATAAAAAATGATAGAATAAAATAGATAAGAGATTAAGGAAGTTAAGAAAAATCATTAAAACATTCTTATCGAAGAAAAACAATTTAAAATATTACACTTAATGAATGACTCCTAAAAATATCATCATAAAAAGAAATTATTCTTATTTATATATAATAATGAGGAATTTTTAATCATTATGGATGCATTCATTTAAAAGAGCTATACATTTTTCATAGTTAATTATTTTTTTTCTTGTACAATACTTTTTTGTAAGTAATTCATTTTGGAGTTATTTAACTTTAGGGATAAAACAATCGATATGTCTAGATGATAATAAGTTTTCTCTACTATAAATCGAGCTAAATATATTTTTTATATATATTATCAATTGAGCACACAAAAAACTTAGAAAAACAAACAAGAATAAAAAAATATGTTAAAAATACACCATTTTTACAAACTTCCTCACCAGGACTTGAGTAAACACATTCTTTTACTTTAAATTGCAAGTGCAAGATTGTTGGAGACTAATAAATAATTTTATATGTTTAAAGATATTTATTTGATGAATAATTAAATATATTAAAAAAAAGTGTTTTGTGATGACGGAGAAAAAAACTACACTGTTAAATCATATTAAATCTACTATATATTATATAAGATTGTGTTGTCACGTAAGAAATGTTACCTAACAACTCTACATTAATTTATTACTTTCACACTTTTTCTGATGACATTAATTTTCTTAAAAAAAAACCTTTATTGTAAACAAATGATTTTTTCCCCCAAAGTTGATTATATATTAATTGAATGATTTTTAGAACTAAACTGAAATATCAAATTCTTAAGTTACAGTAAAAGGATCAAAAGCATGCCAAGAAAAGAAAAAGAATATAAGATAGGTTTCCTTCATTTACAGTTTACACACCCGATTCTCACCATGCAATACTATGATTGAAGCAAGCAACATCCTATACAAGACCTACTCAAGAAAAAAAGGAATTATTCTCTCAACCAAAAGGAAAATTAATGAAACTGAGGAAACCCCACACCAACTCTTGCCACGTAGCCTTGTGTTGTATAAAAAGAGATTCAACCACAATTTTATTCATTCAATCCATTTGATTTCCACAACTTCTAGCAATAGAAAAACAAAAATCTCAAATAAAGGGAGATAGAAGAGAAGCCACTATTCACTTGCAATGGAGACCAATGCTGCTAAACCTACCAGCAATCGCTTGTATGAGGATTTTGAGCCTTATTGCAAATGGCTTACAAAGGAAGGACAAGCCACTCTTGAAATTAGTTTGAAGGGTATTGAAATTTCCTTATTATATGTGATCAATTTATTGATTTTTATACTAGCTATTTCAATTTAGAAGTAATATCAATGGTGCTCTGTGATTAATAAACAATTTTACATTAAGAGGTTCTATATCAAGCTTGTCTCCGAACTTTACACCTTTATATTTTAAGGACTAAGGAGTTTGAGAATTTTATAATCGACCCAAATTGAAAAGTAGTATTGAAGTTGCAAACGATCAATAAAAATGGAAAGACAAGCATAATAATATACATAATAATGATATGAATATATATATTTTTTATAATTATTCTAATGGTATATATATGTAATGATCTTTTGTGTTATAGGTTTCAAGAAGGAGCAACTTAAGGTTCAAGCAGAGGACTGGGGGGTCCTAAGAATTTACGGAGAAAGGCCTATAGATGCATCCAATAACAAATGGAGCCGTTTCCACAAAGAGATTAGGATCTCAAAAGGGTGTGCTATGAACTCAATCCGTGCAAAGTTTGCTCATGGGGTTCTTTTCATTGCAATGCCTAAAGAAATAGTCATGGAGAAGCATTTCATTTGCGGGGTAGAAACAAGAAAAAGGAGAATAGCAGCCATTAAACTTGCAATTGGAATGGTGGTCCTTGTGGCTCTTGGGAGTTACATAGTTCGACTAGTAAGTGGTAAAGAAACACAAGGTTGATGTTGTGAATGTGATGCATTATTAAGTTAAGTAGGACCCCCAAAAATGAAAATCAAAGGGGCCAAAATCAGGATCTATGTGCTATAATGCATAGGATTGCTTGCTGAATGGTTTGTGTGGCAATGAGAAAGTGAGTAAGGTGTTGTTCATATTTTATGTTTTCTTGTAACATGCCTTTGAAGAATAATAAAGAGTGGGTCGTAATTTTCACATATAAAACAACTACAAGGATTTGGTCAATTTAGTGAAAACCCTATAATTTGGAACATGCTGCCTTTTTCTCATTGATTGTGTAAGAAAAGTGTTGAAGTTAGTGTTAACTTTTTAGTAACAAATTCGATTCTAATACATAATTTATATATAAAAAAAAACCACTTTTAAAGGGTTAGTAATTGGCTGTGCTATTTCACAATGTCACTAAATGTAAAAGTTTGGAGCTTTAAAAAAAAATAAAATCAATATTATAATAACTAGCTCAAATAATTTTACATATATACCCTTTAATCTAAATATTATTATTAAATATTAATTATTATATCATTATTCTAATGTAATTAATATTATAATTTTAATAATTAATGAACAAATATTAAATAATTGAATTAAAATTAAAAAAATTACAAAATTAAAATTACAAAAAAAATTCATCATAAAAATTCAAAAATTACAGACTAAATTTTATAATTTAAACCTGATAATGAAGACACCAAAATTACAAATTAAACATCATACGGAAAATAAAAATATAATTTAATCTTAATTTAAAATTCATTGCATTTTACGCTACAAAAATTCAAAATCAAATATACGCTTGCCTCGATCAAAATCACTAGATGAGTAGATTCATATAAATTTCGAGAACTACAATAAAATAATAATAAAAAAAAAAAATCGCAGTATTTCAATTTTCTGGATTCGCAAAACCCTAACCTGAGGAGGCGATTCCGATGAGTTCGCGGGGAGCGGCGGCGGTGCTATCGAGGGCGAGCAGGATAAGGTCGAAGCTGCAATCGGCGCTGGAAGCCACCGTTCTGGAGGTGGACGACGTGTCGCACCAGCACGCGGGCCACGCCGCCGTGAGGGGAAGCTCCGACATGGAAACCCACTTCAACGTGAAGATCGTGTCCCCCAAGTTCGAGGGCCAGAGCCTCGTCAAACGACACCGCATCGTCTACGACCTCCTCGCCGACGAGCTTCAGTCCGGTTTGCACGCCCTCTCCATCGTCGCCAAGACGCCCCGCGAAACCAACCCCAACCCCAACCCCAACCCCGCCGACTGACGCTGCCAAAGTTCCAAGCTTTTGCTCTGTGAGTGTCCGAAGCTTCGGTCCTCGCTTTCTTCTGTGGTGCCTTTTTTGTTTTTGAATGCTGGAACTGTGCTGTTTGGGTGAACATTTTTTTTTTTTGTAAACACTTTTGTATCTGTAGAATACAGCTTCTTCAAATGAATTCAGTTTATTTCATTTACGTTTGAGTTGTGCGCTCTTAAACACACTTGTAAGAGAAGAATATGAGAAGGTAGAATGAATTGAATTTATGCATTTGTGAACGCTAGTTTGGATAAACTTCTTCATATGTATTTCTAAGTGAGAAAAAAAATATATAAAGAAAATTAAAATAAGTTTTTTAATTAGTTAAAACTAATTTATGTAAAAGTTATAATCTAAGATTATAGAGAAGCTAATAAGAGGGATTCTACAAATTAGTTTATATATAAGCTAATTTTAACTCACCCAAGAAGTGCTTGTGGAGAAGCCATTATTCATTTTCTGTTGGTTTTTTGGACATTGGAAATAAGTAAGAATCTAAGTAGAACAAACCGAGGTTTAGTTATGAGAAAGCTTTTAAAGAATGTTTGCGACTGCAATTGTGACTGCAGTTAATGTTTAAAATTGTAATTGCAGTTTTGGGTATATCGGATTTGTTGGGATCCTTTATGGTGTGGGAGATTGTGAACAATGTAGCTGATACGGCTGTAATTATGCTCACATCACCTTGACTGCGACTTCAAGGTTTTTGGGTCTTTGCATTGCAACTTTTGTTGTGTTTGTTTGCAATTTTTTGCAATATCAAGGATTGCGACAATTGTGGCTTCGACTGCAATTTTATGTTATCAGTATTCAGTAACACTTACATCCTAGCTTTTGATTGAAATTTATTAATATGCCTTAGTTTACTTCATTCACTGGTTTTAAGAAATGGCAACTGGGATTTCAATCGCAATGTCAAGATTTTTGGGCTGGGGTTTTTGTGACAACAATTGAGACCACATTGACCACATTTGTCAGCAATTTCCTTTACAATGAGCTTATTTGGATATAAGCTTAGAGGCGTTTTTGAGAATTTCTCTATTAAAAAATACTCTTTATTTCCAATAGAAAAATTCTCAAAGCGTTTTTAGCTTGTATTTAACCAGGCTCAATATCAAGGATCGCAAAACTACCACCACGACCACAACTTAAAACCTTGCTATCTGTTATGTCTTGTGGTGTTTCAATCCTTGAAAGTGCATATTTATAGGAGAAATTATCTTAAATGTGTCAAGTGGCTAAGAAGGCTACCCTGTTAAGTTGTCAATTTGTGAACAAGTTAACCCTTAAATGGACTAATTTGCATAGGTGAAAACTTCTAGGACTAAAGCAGCACAAGGTGCCACCTTCAGAGATCTACTTGGCTTTTGCTTTGCTCTATGAATGGAACCTTAATCATTGTGGCTGAGTGATCCATAGAATGTAAGATGTTTACAATTATTTGTAATAAAAATGATTTTTACTTTCATCCTACTTATTTAATATGCTTGTATACTTCTTATAGGATGCAAGTATGTTACAAATTCAGTTATCTTATTGCAAAGCTTTCTGGTGTCTAATTGACAAGTTTCTTAATCTCCAGTTTTGACAGTTATTTAATTAAGCCTTGCATTTAGATGTGCATACATTAATAATGATGCCAGACTACATTTTTTTTTACTGAAAAAATCTTGCATGTCTGGATTTAATTTTGTCAATAGTTTCATTAGTTTGAAATGTCAAAGGTGCATCCCAGCACTGGCCAATGTGAAAAGCTTCTCATAATGAATTACCATTTATATTTTTTGATACAAGGATGGCTTCACTCTAACATGATGAGTTTCATGGGCTAGGGGGTAAACGGTAGTTGTTTTGGTTGACTTAGTGATCAAGTCATTCACTTTTTGGTCCACTTAACACTAATGTAACTATAAATTTGGTATCTTTTGGTCCATTTACTTAAGGGTTACATAATGTCTGATATTGGTGGGTCTATGGTCTGTGGTTTATTAAGGGTTGGGATTTGAATCCTGGTTCTTGCAATTGCAAAAAAACTCAAATTGGGAGGAAATGTTCACATATTTGGTATCTGTCAAGTTCCTAAAGGATATTGTCTCCATGGTTAATGGAAAATACTTCTTGATAATGAACCAAAAAAGAGTATTATATGTATGCATAAATGTAAATTATAGGTTATTTAATATCATTTATTATGAGTTTACACATCGAGTCTATGTAAACCTCTGAAGCTCCAGGAGTTTACATAGATTTTCCAGTTTGACAAGCTTGCTTCCATGAATGTCTTGTGCTTCTTGTTAGGGTATGAGTGTCTTACTAAAGCTCCTATGATGAATTAACCTGATGCCATAAAACTTCTAATTCCATCGTTCCAATTTCTGAAGATTTATTAGTTTTTCTTATTATATGTTGAAGAAGGTAAATCTGAGGGGCTTCTGTCTAAGTTCTTGATTTTGTGTCGCCATTTTTTCCAAAAGAACTGGTGTCAGAGATTGTTCTGTATTTCTTCTCTCTTTCTCTCTCTTACACACAATAAATATGTAAAGAGACATCAGGAACAGTGAGAGCAATATGGCCAATTGGAGGATGGAAGATGTCAATCAACTATTTCTTAAACGTTCTTGTGTGGATGTTTTAGGCTAATACATTTTGAGTTGTGTTTTGTTTTCTTCCTACAATTACTTGGTTAAATTGCTGCATGACCCTGCCTAGTTTTTGCTTTGAATCTTGTAATTATTATTCTCATCGATTTATTTTGAACTGCTATTGCATGCTGACTTTTATTTTACTTCCCCTTTCAGTTTCATTCAATTTTGCTGGGAGGATGCCTCAGTGGATATGAAGCATAAAAGTATAAAAGATGATGGCAACCCTCATATAAATGTTGAATAGGGAAATTTTATGTCGTTGTTCGGAATTTTAGTGGAAGTGATTGAATAATGGGATAGATAACAATTATTATAATTATAATAATATAAATTTCTACCTTGATTTTGCATTTTTACGCTCTATCTTTCTCAAAGCCACAAGAGCAGCATATTTGGATTAAATTTTGGATATCATGCTTTCACCTGTAGAAGTAACTATTTCTAATCAAACTATGGTTTGAACTTTGAAATTCCAAATTCTATTCAAAATATAATCCAATTGGGTTGGTCAAATTAAAATTCAAACACGGTTAGTGTTCAATTGGGATTTTTTACGATTGGTTAAAAGTAACTGCCAAGTTGATTTCTTTTCAAATTAAGAAAAACACGAGCTAGTATAGTAGAATATTTGTTAAAATATAATCATCAAATTCTGAAAAATAATGCTTGGAATCCGATTTCTCTGTAACAGAATTTGGAAAAAAGCATACTTTCCGCATTAAGGGTCGGGATCAGAGGATAAGAAAACTCAACAGCACAATGAAATATAGCAGATATAATATTCTGAGATGGTTGTCAATAGAATTTCTCCTGATGTTGTCACTTACAACAGTCTAATATATGGCTTTTGCATCATGGGACAATTGAAAGAAGCATTTGATTTATTTAAGGATATGGTATTGAAACATATCAATCCAACTAATTATACCTTTAACGTATTAGTTGATGGATTATGTAAGGAAGGAAAGGTGAAAGAAGCAAAAGATATGTTGGCTGTGATGGTGAAAACTGGACGGGTGCTGCCTTGTTAATGAAGTCAGCGAGGCCAGAGATATTTTCAACACTATGGCTAACAGAGGAGTGACTCCTGATGTTCGCAGCTATACTGTCATGATTAATGGATTATGTAAGATTAAAATGGCAGATGAAGCAATGAATTTCTTTATAGGGTGTTTGATAAAACATTTTAATGAAACTGAAAGGGGAAGTAAAAAAAATTTAATTGAAAGTAAGTCAAATTTTAAAAATTTAAAATTACTTGAATTTCTAAAATGACTCGTACAAACAGACAAATGCATTGCAAATGTATTGTTCCTGACATCCTAACTTACAATTCTCTCATCGATGGTAATGCGCTCCTCTTAAAAGAATTTTTGAAAGAAAAAAATATCACTCCAAAATATATAATCTACCTATACTAATATATATATATATAATACTTATAATACTAATATATAAAGGGGATATCTTTTTCAGTAACTACCTTGTCTTCACTTTTTTTTGATAATTATACCCTTTTATTATAAAAATATTTTTAATCAAATTAAAAAACTTCAAACTAATAAATTTATATGGGAAATTTTATCCTTTGTTTATTTTTAATAATTATCTTTTTGAGTAACTTTTCATTTTTTTCATTTTTTTATTTTTTCTTTTAATATAATGTAGGTACGTAATGCATTTTCCCTACTAGATAAATAATACAATTGTATAAATAATTTTACAAGAAAACATATCTGATAGAAAAGAATGGAGGAACAAATATGCACGAACTATTTTTGTTCCTTTCGATTTGTATAAACATATCCCCTTTGCATGATTTATCCAATACGAAGTGCCTCGGCCCTACTAGATAAATAATACAATTGTATAAATAATTTTACGTTACTTATTACTATTATACCTTGAATGTAAAAAAGAAAAATCTTATATCTTCTAAAATTTCTAATATTTGTCTATGTATAATTATTTGATAGCCACCTTTATTTTTATTTTTTTACATTATACCCCTTTGATTTAAAAAAATAAACAAATAATTTATATTCTTTCTGAATAACTATCCACAACTTTTAATATTTATTTGTGTCTAATTATTAGAAGCACAGAGTGCCTCATCCCTTCTAGTAATAATAAAAATAATTTTAGGATTTTTACTTATATTGTCTATGTATTCTTCCTCATGCATAACTATTTATAAAGTGTAAACATGTTGCTGCAAGTGTGAAAGATAACTACCACTATGCGTCAAAATTGCTAAACTGATGAGTAACGTGCTGAAATCAACTGAAATATTCCACCAAATCAATGCCATTAAAACATAGTAACATAATTGTTTTAATCCTATTAAATGTGAATAAATAGTAATTAAAAATATTAAAAAATTTAAACAGAAATTGAATAAATAAAACATTTAATTAAATTTTAAATTATAATAAAATTTTAAACTATAATAGCAAAATAAAAAAATGTATATTATTGTGCATTAATTTTTAAATGGGTTTAAAATTGATTTTGTAGTCACATATATAAAATTTGGATCCAACTTATCTTTTATATAAGTTGTCTTCTTACCTTTAAATATGCATTATTTGAGACATTTAAAAATTATTAAATAATTTTCAAATTTTTTAAAAATTTACAAATTTGATCTATATATTAAGAATCTTAAATTCAATGATTAGACTGTTAAAATTTGATATAAAATATGAATTATTGAACGGAATAAGTTTAGGTAGACTTCTTTCTGAAATTTAATGTAAAACGTGAATTATTGAACGAAATAAATATAAATGAATTTGTTCATAAAATAAACGAATCTCTCGCTATATTTAAAATATGAACATATTTTTTTTATACAAAATATCTGCATAAATTATAACTAATCAATACCTTATTGCATTCTCTTAAATCTCGAGATATGATTGACATTTCAATCATTAAACGAGATCGTGAAGTCTTTTCGGCTAACCTTTTAACTAGGACCATGATTTCTACTTAATCCCTTCCACAATCCTTGCAACACTTGGTTGCCCTTCTCCAAAAATGATCTCATTGCTATGTAGCCAAATTAATCATATACATGCTAACCAAAATGGGAAACCATGCTTTTTCCATAAGTTTTCCATCCCCACATCCTTTCATGCATCAGAAATGTTGCACAAGATTTTTCAGCAACACTGTGTAAATTCCGAACCATCCATAAATATTCCTCCAAATGACATATGCGAATGGACAAGTAAAAAGGATGTGTGAGACAGTGTCTGTTAATATGTGGCACATGGAGCATATCACTTGATCCCTTTGCACAAGTATTCCTCTCCTGCATAAATTGTCTCTTACAAGGACACTATTCAACATTGTTGTTTTTCATACAAAACCAATAACTTTGGAAGGTGTATCACATTTCCAAATTGCTTAATCTTTATTTATCCCCTCCTCGAATGGTGATAGAATTCCATAAGTGTCGATCACATAAAAATGAAAATTTGTCTTAAATCTAAAATATAAATTTTATCTTTAAAAATATTTATTTATTAAAAAATTAATTACAATATATTTTATACACAATAACTTTTTATTTTAATTATACTAACATATAAAAGATATTTCATGTCTTCGTGAATTATTTTAAAAAATAATAAAAATTATATAATAATAAGTAATTATTGAAAATATAAAAATAAAAATATTTAAAAAATGAACACGAAAATAATTTTTTTATTAATAAAATAGTATAGATAAAATAAATTTTATCTCGTGAATTATGTATGTTAAGATGATAGTATAGCAATATAAAATGAAAAATGACAAAACCCTTCCCATTCCTAAAGTTTTTATTTTGACGGCAGTTTATATTCCCCAACGGAACCAAACCCACAAACCAAATCCTTTGTGCCCTAATTTCTCAAATCCAAACCTCACTTTTCACCGCTCCAACGCTTAATTCTGATCGACACTTTTGCCGTCGTTGTTCACCAGGTGCTGCACCCTCTTCTTCAATCCTCTATGGAACACTCTATCATCTATCGATATAGTTTTTCTCGGAATATATATTTTTTTCTTTGTATTTTCCCGGAAAATCATCTACATGGATCGGATGCTTTGGGGCTGAAATCAGGGTTTTTCGGTCAATTTCCATTTCTTGAACCCTCTTTGTTTCTAACCCCCTCTGAAAAATTTGTTCTTTTTCGGCCTTTGTGTTTAGGTGTAATGTTTGCGTGTTTAGGTTTGATTAAACTTCGGTATTAAAATTTCCATTATTTGTTGACGGGTTGAACTCTTTTTTTTTTTTTTTTTTTTTTTTTTTTTTTTTTTTTTTTTTTTTTTTTTTTTTTTTTTTTTTTTTTTTTTTTTTTTTTTTTTAAGTGGGTGTGTGTTATCATTTGAAAGTGCGTGTTTTTGTTTATTGCATGTATCGTATGAGGATTTGAAGATTCTGTATTGAATGAAAGAGGTTTTTTGAATCTTATTAAATCTTGTTGTCTTGACAATTTTTTGTTCTGGGACTAATTGGTTTCTTTTGGAGCCTTGGAACCTCGTTTTAGAATCTTTGAAAACCTTGCGACTGTTGCTTGGATTAGTTTTGATTAATTTTTGTGTACCTCTGGGTGTTTTCATGTAGAGAATGTCTTGTTGGCATTTGTATTATATCACGAGATTTTGATTTTGGTAGACTAATATAATGGCTGTTGGTAGTTGTCTCTTTTTGATTTTGATGTGTCTCTGCAGATCTACTGGTTCAGTCTGTGACACTCCTTTTCCAACCCTACGTGGTTGAGGATTTACTAGTTTTCTTTGATTCAGTTCAAATATCTGATTTCAAATATCTGATTAGCTTTATTCTTCATGTAGTCAGTTAACGGGGATTCTTTTATTCTGTTTTATTGACGAAGTGACAGCAATGGATGATTGGGGTAATGAGATCTTGCTACACTTGTTTTTTTTGTACATGCACATAAGTTTTTTAATGTTAATGTAATTGCTGGAATCTTGTTCTTGTTGGGTGAATTCTTTAATGATGGTATGTTTTTACTTTCATTATTTTCCAACAGTCAATCTGTACTGATCTTCTATATCTCTTTGTTTTTTTTGTTTATTTTACCTCCAGAGTCCAGACACCATCTTTAATATTTTCTTTTGTCTCACCACCTTTTATTGTTTATTCAAGATTATTTTTCTTTACCAAAATGGAGGGTTAGGATATTAAATTTGTATGTATCACAAATTACTAGATAAAACTATATTTGTAGTTGCTACCTGCTAATGAATTTGTTCGATTCTCAGAAGTGCTATTGTTATTTGATTCATAGTTATATTACATTTTGATTCATTATGAGTATGTTTGGAATAATTAAAAATGGGTTTGATTTAAAACAAAAAATTGATTTGACTTGGTTTTTAATATTTCTTTTTTCATGTTTGAAACATTAAAGATTGAATAAGCTCACTACTTCAACAATTTTGTTATATTACCCTTAGAGAAGTTATAGTGGGTAAACTAGTAAAGATGAAGTTGTCAATTAAATAAGAATGATGTAAACCATAACCAAATCACATTGCTCATATTCAACCATTGTTTAGTGAATTGTAAATTTATCCAACTATATCAATTTAATTATCATTTTTTTTCAAACACAATGTATGTTTGTAACCTTGTATATTATGTTTTTTCTAGTGTCCTCTGTATTTGTGTTAATTTGCGAAATGTTTATTGTAGAGGATGAGCAAATTGCTCCACTTAATCTTACAGTAAAAGATCAAGTTAAAAGTAAATGGGATGATGAAGATGTGGATGAAAATGATGTGAAGGAATCATGGGAGGATGAAGACGAGCCTGCTCCGGTATGAACAATTAAACATGATGTAACAGCAAAAAATTGTTTATTTATGTGTATGAATGGTACTTGTGTGTAATTTTTGAGGATGTTCTTTTTCATTCCTATCCAATTACCTCTTATTGGCTGATTAACATACCCTTTAGACTACTGCTATGCCAATGCAACTTCTGCTGTTATTAATCTTTTATATTTTGTTGATTACTAAAATATCAAAATTGCTATAGCTATTAATTATTATTTTTATATAATTTATCGGTAACTATCAAGTATAATTTATTTTTACTCAAATCTGCAGTTTATTGTTATGCTTGTTTCATCTATCTATTATCTTTTAGAGGAAAGGACGGGGTGTATAAAACTAAAATTAATGCAAGTTGTTTAACAATGATTACCTTTTTAAGTATATTTAAAATTGAATTTCAGGATTTCTTTAATGAAATGATTTATTTCTTATAAATATGGTCTTTCTTTAGTTATCAATTGCCAATTTTTTTTTGTTACTTTGCATAATATTCTCAGGCACCTGCAGCACCTGTTGTAAAAACTACTGAAAAAGCTTCTAAAAAATCTTCTGATAAAGCTACTGACAAGAAGGGTAAGACAGTAGAACCAGTAAAGGAGGAAGAACCATTGGATCCTGTGGCTGAGAAACTTCGCCAACAAAGGTATACTTTTATCCATCTAATTTGGTGATCCTTATGTTTCTCTTATAATCTTTTGTTATGGGTACAGGTGTGAGGTGTCACGTTATTAAACTCTACACCTAACCATGTGTAGGCATATGCTTTTTAGTAAGTATGATTATGAGCTAGGGTAGACTGTAACAAGGCCATAACTGAATCTTAGTCCTTGTTAAGTTGCTTTTGTATTATTTTTAATGGCTACTTGGTTTTGTTTGCATGACAAAATTGTCTGTCATCTTAAATGTCAATACTGTGTTTTAGTACAATTTTTCTTTGTTAGGCTACGCCAGACTTGTACTTGTGCTACTTTGTTTAAGTGCAATGATATATGTTTGCTTTAACTGTCGGGTGGTACTTACATATTATTATCTAAGGTTTGCTTTAACTAGCTAAGGTAAGTAATGATCTCAATCTAAGACAACTTAATGAAGTCACCCATCAAGCATAAACGAAGCAAAATTTGAAGCAGAACTATGAATATAAACTTACTGAACTGTAATAGAAATTTGGCTTCCTTTCTTCTGCTAAAGCCTCTGGATTTAAATGATTAGAAAATACTGCAAGAAGCCTACTCCATATTTATGGTTTGTTAAGTGTTTTTGAGTGATGAAATTCATTCTCTATTCTTTGATGCTATTAAATTTGATGTTTAAGTAATTTTATTGATAAAATTGTATTTTCCATTACAATGTTTTGATTGTTAGTCTCTGAATGACAACAGCATTACAAGAAGCAGATTGCTAACTTAGATAAAAGCAACATAAGGTCTTATGGCGTGTTTGGGAATCAGTTGTGTTCAATTCAATTGTAGTTGAAAAAAAAGTTACACATAAGCTTTTACTTTTTCTACATTGGAAAGTGCATTGTTCCATTGAATGTGGTTTCAAACTAGTATTCAAACATACACTTAGTAAATTTACTCTATATCACAGATTAATTGAAGAAGCAGATTATAAGTCCACTAAGGAATTGTTTGGTGGGGGAAAAGACGAGAAGAACATTGACACTTTTATACCAAAATCTGAAAGTGATTTCGTGGAGTATGCAGAGCTTATTGCACACAAGCTTCGTCCTTTTGAGGTCAGTTAAATACTCTAGATTTACTCCTTAAATGTTTGTCTAAAGGGCATCCTAATTTACTTTTTGACGAATGCAGAAAAGTTATCATTATATGGGCTTGCTAAAGGCAGTAATGAGATTATCAATGGTTTCTCTAAAAGGGGCAGATGCCAAAGACATTGCTTCCTCGGTAACTGCCATTGCAAATGAGAAGATAAAGGCAGAGAAAGAAGCCAATGCCGGCAAAAAGAAGACAGGTAACTTGATCTTGGATTGAAGAAGTCTTTGTTGAATTCATATTTGTGTTTATTTTGTCTCTTGATGTGTTCATGGTTTTTGCTGTGACTGCAGGTGGCAAGAAAAAGCAACTTAATGTGGATAAACCTGATGAGGATTTTATTAATGATGATCGCTATGATGATCTGGATGATTATGATTTCATGTGAAAAATTTTGGTTCAGTTCCATTCAGATTAAGTTACGGGATTAAACTGTTTCAACCTTGGAAGTTGGGACATGACCCTTCGGCATACCCTGTCAAAATTTAACGAGTGCTGTCCCGTATTTTGTCTAATAAGAGTGTGCATCAGTGTCTTGTTTTCTCATTGTCAATTTTGTCACAACCAATATGTACTTGGACCTTAGTGTTATATGATTCATAGAACTTAGAGATATGATCGTGTCAACATTCAACATTAACTTGTTTTCGATTATGTTCTTGGATTGTAAGAATATAGCATGACATTTTCTTGTTAAGGGAACTCTTGTTATAGTCTTGTTTTATTAATGTTGGATGTTGATAGCATTTATAACACCTGATTGTTTTATAAGGGGCTGCGTAGAAATGAATATGCCTTGTTTGATGTCTTCTACAATGTGAGAAAAATTTATACCAAAATAATTAGTTAAAAGACTATGTCACTAAACAGATCTTTCTTTCTCTACGTGACTGAATTACTGTAAACATGTCTACCCTTCATTTGGAGACACTTTTAAAATAATAGAATCAAGTAAAGTATTGTTCGGAAAGTAGTGATTAATTAATAAAGGAATTGAGTGTATGTGGATATTTGTTCTGTCGGATAAATATCTCAAAGAAATCTGTTCGTATATTTGTGTGTATATATGTTAGGTATGTACTTGTAAACTTTTCTATATCTATGGGTGTTTAGGGTTTTTGTGAATGTTTATTAAAAATTATAAATAATTTTAGAGAACATGTTAGTGATAATTTTTATTTACTCTAATAATTTCTTCGAAAATAATAGTTTAAAAGTTAAAGTTTAAACTATTTAAATATATTTAATTTTATTAATCAAATTTTTTTAAGAGAGAGGGTTATAATTATACTGGTATAATTTTTACTAAGTATTACACTGCTCAATAACTTTATATTAATTGTGAATTTTGAAAATTCAACCGTTAGATTAAAAGTTTATATCACTTTATACGTGTATATCAATTTTTGTTAAAATTGAACAAAAACTTGAAGGTAATCAAAGTGTTCATATTTTAGTGTATTTTGAAATAAATATATTACGTCAATTTTGTTTTATAAAAATGAAGTATCAAATCATCTTGGATTAATATAAAATTTTCTATATAATTTAAGAGATATGAATTTTAAATCTAACGGTTGAATTTACAAAATTCACATTTGATATAAAGTTATTGAGCGGTGTAATACTTGATAAAAGTTACACCGGTGTAATTATAACTTTTTTTTTTAATTTAAAAGATAAATTTAATTGTTAAAGTATTTTAATATTATAAGTTTAACAAGTTTAATAAACTAAAATAATATAATTTCACAAGTTCAAAATAATTATTTCAAACATAAATATAAATAAATGAAATTTAAAAAATATTATATTTATATTTAATGTATTATATATTTAAACAAAAATATTTAATAATTTTATTGTAACAAATATTTTTGATATTTATCTCGTTTTCATTTTTTTTTTGTAATGATAGGAAACATTATAAAGATGATCGCAATGAGGATTGAATGTAGGTCCTTATGCTTCTAACTACCCCGACCATAGTTTTAAAAACCGGACCGGTCATCGAACCGGTTAAGGTATTGGGTCAGTGGGTCAAAGGTTGAACCGGTAGGTCACTGGTTGAACCGCATGACTCGATTTTTATTTCTTTTTATTAAAAAATATTCATATTAAATATATTTATACTTATAAATTTTAATAAATTCATATCTTATTTTAAATTTAAATTTTTCTATCTTATTTAAAATTATTTTTATTTTTATTTTGTAAAAAAATATATAAAAAAATTACATGTTAAACGGTATATTAATACAAATTAAAAATATAAATAATATGTACATATATAATATGCTTGCAATTAATATCACAAAATAATATATGTAATATTTACATAGATATTGAATTATTAAATATATAATTTAAAATTAATAATATACTATAAAAGTTATTTAAGTTGTATATATTATAAACAAATACATTAGAACAAGTAGTCATTGTTATATTTAATAAGAATCTTTGTTCTTCCATTAAGAGATTCAATTTTCATTATTATTTTTGTGGTTTATGGTTTTTTAAAAAAATTAAAAAAAAAAAGTGGTTGAACCGGTTTGACCCACCGGTTCACCGGTTGAACCGGAAAATTGACCGGTTCAATCCGGTTTGAAACGGGTCGACTGCATAACCGATCCAACTTCAGATTCGGACCGGCTGGCCCACCGGTTCCCGGTCCAACCGGTCCGACCGGCCGGGTCGGTTCGGGTTTTAAAACACTGACCCCGACTCCTCTCCTCTCAACTATTAGACTAACCCTAATAGTTTCTCGTTTTCATTTATTAATGGATACAAATATATCTATTTTAATTATTTACGAATATTTATTTATTATCTGATGTAGCTAATTAAGTATATACTTAATTAAAGATGACAAAAGTGGTGCTTCAAGGAATTTTGTTTAGTATATATATATATATATATATATATATATATAGATATATAAAATAACCGACTTAGAATACAATCCTTCTAATAGTGTATATATAAAAAGTTTTAGGGGTTGATTTAAAATTATATATATATATATATATATATTAATTTATTATAGTCCATTAGATGTATAGAATTGTTTCTTTTACGGTTAGATGTGTAAATTAAGAAAAACAAATTAGTTTCAAGTACTTTGGATCTTGTTGGGGAGATTAGTGATATGTTTGAAAGTTAGAATTTGGAAGGGAAAAGATCACAGGGTACATATATTTCTAAATGAAGCGTTGTAGAATATTTATAACATAATTAAAATCAATATATAATGTTAATCATTATTCGGAATGTTTTCCATGGATCAATTCTGTTATTTTCATAACGAAAACTCAATTCAAGGGGTGAAAATGAACTATCCTAAACCAAAGAATATCTTATTTAAATACATAGAAAATTTAAAATCGAAATATCTATCAAGAGTTTTATTTTTTTATTTTTTTTATAAGTTGTTTTCAGGTGTCTTTTGTGAGGTATTATGTATTTCTACTCTAACGAATATAATCACTTTGTATAACAGAACTTTGTTCTAGAAATTAATGCAACTACTAGGTTAACGTTTAAGCTTGATATCAATAATTTTTCTTTTGAAATTGAATGTTCATTTATCCTTCCTTGATGATGTTCCTGTTTGGGTTTAGTTTTTTTTTTTTTGTTCGTCCCTGGAGTAACCACCGCCGATAGGCGTGACTAATCTCCTCGCTACGTTGGAGACACGGGTGGGATAGCTGGTCCCAAGATTTAACGCGGCTGCATACACAAGGCAGGATTCGAACTCCTGACCTTGCTTAAACGTGGATTAACCCTTACCGCTAAACCACACGCTTGGAGTTTGTTTGGGTTTAGTTTGATCATGATAATCAATAAATTTTTCCCTTTAATAAATTTAATGTCATTGGTCTTCGGATATTTTAGAAAGTTTTAATGAAGTACTTAAACTAGAAAAAATTATAATAAAATCTTTCACTTTTAAATAATGTTATTTAGTTCTTGAGATTAAAAGTCTGTTTAAAATTTATAAAATTTAATGAAATATTATTTGTATTCACAATCACATCATATTATTATATTATGTCATCATTTATGTACAATATATTTTAATTTTCATCCATAAAAGTTCTAATAACCCCTAAATTATAAGAATTATGCAATAACAAAAAATTGCAAAGGAATTAAAACTTGATATATGAATAATTATATAAAATTATAATCTAATATAACTACTTATGTATTAAAAAATAAATAAAAATAATACTGCATCAAATTTTATGGATTATAAACAGAACTCTAACTCCAAAAATAAAATTATTAAGACGAAATGCTCAATTATATATATATTTAATATAGGAAGTTAATTAAAATTTCCATTTTTTTTTCATAAACAAACTAATGCATTAAATACACTTAGGATACAAAATTAGATGTCTTTGACAGCTTCTTTATGGATAAAAAAAGTAATGAAAATTGGGTCTGGAGTGTGTTGAAAGGAGATTTTATGAAAGAATATTTGAAATAGAAGAATTTTGACTTGTTTTGACGTGGATGCAACGAAAGTTGAATCGAAGGAGGAACGGCATTAGCGTCTTCTCTCTCCATCGCAAAACGTGTTTTCCCTCTGAATTTGCGGACCCAAAGCAGTTGAAAACCCAAGACCCTCTTTTGAACCTTCCCTTCCTTCATTTCTCCGTTTGCTCTTCCTTCGCTGCGAAGGATTTGCAAACATGAACGGAAAAGCCTCCGTTTCCAAGGAGCTCCACGCCAGGCACACCAAGGTTCCGTTTTTCCCCTCCCCTTTTCGTTAATTCTGCTTCCAAATTACTTGGCTTCATGTTCAATTTGTGATCATGTCATTTTTATTTATTTATCTTTTTTGTGGATGGATGCAGATATTGGAGGGACTTGTTAAGCTACCTGACAACAGGGAATGTGCAGACTGCAGGACCAAGTATATGCCTTTTTAAAAGTTTTTTATTTATTTTTATTTTTAATCATGTTAAGCATAAATATTAATGTTATGGCCAAAATTTCTTCAAATTTTGTCTTATTGGAAAAAATCCAAGACTCATATTGATTAGAAATTAATCAATTAAATAGTATATAAGTAGAAAACAATAATCACTTTATAAGTCACCATTGATACATGTACCATGGACGTGACGAGGTGGAAAATCCAAGTCCTACATCGACTAGAAATTAGGCAATTACTTAGTATATAAGTGGAAAGCAATCATTATTTTATAAGCTGATTTTGTAGGGTTGAATTAGGCTCAAATTCACTGTTCTAAGACATTAGAATCAAACTCGATAAATTTACGTAGGAATTGTTGATATTTTTTTTTTCATGGTTATGAGCACATATTTTTAATTTCAGGGCACCACGGTGGGCAAGTGTGAACTTAGGGATATTCATTTGCATGCAATGTTCAGGAATTCACCGGAGTCTTGGAGTGCATATATCAAAGGTTTCTATACATATTTTGTTCTGTGTCAGCTTAGAAATTGATAGTGTGCTTAACTAAGCCTTCTGATTTTGCAACTAGGTGCGGTCCACAACATTGGATACATGGTTGCCAGATCAAATTTCTTTTATGCAATGTAAGAAACTACACAATTTGTTTCTCACTTTCTTGTTCAGAAGTTTGGTTAAGCAAATCATGAGATACTATGAGTAACTCTTTTCTCTCTTTCCAAAACAAGAGAATTTGCTAGTTTTCTTAAAAGGTTTGGTGTTGGTTTGACAAAATTATATTAGTAAATCATCTTAGTGGTGGTAACAGGTATGGTCCATTCCACATATATGTAGGTATATATACCACAGATAGGAGATTACATAATATCCATTTAATTGGTTGGTGAAACTAAAATAGTGATTATTTAATTACTCACAGAAGATAGGGTCATTGTCAGAAAAAAATTATTGGGTTCTTGAATTCTCTTGTTGCTGAATTTTTATATTACTTTGGTTGTCTGCAAAATAATGTCTACCAAGCTCATCTCTTGACTTGTGTGTTTTATGCAGCAATGGGTAATGTGAGGTCAAATAAGCACTGGGAGGCACAATTACCGCCAAACTTTGACAGAAATGGATATGGAATTGAGAAATTTATTCGTTCCAAGTAAATTTTTTCATGGATTCTTATGCAAGACATTACTAGAAGCTTGAAGATTAAATTTGCTAATCCCACATTCTAGTTTTATTAACTTGCTTAAAATCTTTCAGGTATGTGGAGAAAAGATGGGCTTCGGAAGGTGGACCACAACCAGCTTCTAAAGCTGAGATAATCTTCAACTCGAATGCATCTGCTGGGGCTAGGAGTGCTAATCCAAGGAATAGGAGATTGTCTCTTGAGGAAAGCATTCTTGTGAACCACATGTCACATATTCGGCCTCCGATAACAAAACCTCATGAGGTATTTGTGTATAATGTCAAGTTCAATCCTTGATAACAAAATTTCATTCAGATTTTAATTGCCAAGACACATACAATGGATAATTTAAACAACTAGTCACATGCCCAGTTGTTGATGAGGTGATTTTTATTGTTTGGTTTGCATGGGTGGCCAATTACTCTTTGCCCTGTTTCTTAGAAGTTTGTTGTTATCTACATTTACATGACCTAGCTTACTATTAAAATGTTGTGATCTATTGTGGAAACTTCTGTATTTCTTTTCTTTTATGTCTTGAAATTTGCAAGGCAGGGTAGGAGGGAGCCATAAATTTTGCTTCTCATGTCAAAATGCTAAAAAAAATGCAATCTTTTGGAATTCCTAGCCCACCCTGTGAAATATCTTTTCGATTATAGCTCTTCTAAGGTATATGGCATTTAGCATCTCATTGCCTTGTGTAGAACGTTCCTTTATTGTGTTTAGGCACACCCTTTAGACCTAGATATTCAAAAAAGATGAATAAAAGTGCAGGGGTGGTGAAGGAGTGTGGTCACAGAGATATTTAGCAGCAGTTTACAATTTGCATTTTATTTTATTTTTTTTTCCTCACTGCTATATATAGCATTGTTCTCTTTCTGCTCTAATCAGAAAAAAATTGTTTGCCTTCCAAAATTTATTGCATCACAAAACAAAAAATAAAAGCTTATTCTTCGCAATTCAGGTCTCCTCAGACTTGCCACAGATGATTTCACCACAATTAAGGAGGCCATCTGCATCATTTGATTTTGACAACCCCAGGGTAAAGAACAATGATACAGTTGATCTTTTTGGCATGCTTTCCATCCATGACGATAAAAAGAATTTCTCAACTACACCTCCTAGCTGGACAACATTTGATTGTAAGATGACAATACTTGTATTATACATTTTCTGAATTTTCTAATTTTTCTTTCATTCTGTTGGTAATATAAGTTTTTAGAGAATTATGGAAGCCAGTGGAGATTTTTGACTTGCACCCTTCATGTCGAAACTAACAAGATGGGGTCAGCTCATGTTATGCACTTCCAAATTATTAAATCAATATTCATGTTTGCAGGACAAGGCTTATGAGGTGTATGTTCGTAGATTGTTGAGCTAGCCCTTTGCATAGATGTCATAACATTATAGTTGCAGACGATCTTGTGATGTTGCATGAACTTTGAGCTGCATTGGTCAGGTGTGTACTTCTATTTTCCAATGATAACAATGTTGATTTGATCCTTTTCTTTATGAGTTAATCACCTATACACTGTTAGTATAAAGTTTTTTTACACTGACAACCAATCATATCTTTTAATAGTGTCATGTCAGTTGTTCATTTAATGAAATAAAAATAAAATAAAATAATTTAAAAAATATGATTGGTTGTCAGTGTAAAAAACTTTACATAGTGTATGGATGATTAACTCTTTCTTTATTTCCAATTTTAGATTACCCTTATATATTTGTACATTTTCCTAAAACTGACATACCTGTTTGGTTTGTGGCTTTAGAATTTCCTGAAATAGTTCAACTCAGCTCAAAGTACATCTTTATACTTTGTAAATTTACAATAGAATTAAATACATATTACAGCTCAAAGGGCATCTTTATTGAAGATTATTTGTTTTTTTTTTTTGTTTTTTTGTTTTTTTGTTTTTACAGGTTTTAGGACATATTTCTATCAACACACTACAGCAGGATATAAATTTAGTGCACATCTGCACCACTTTGGCGTTGATGTATCACACATCCTGAGGTCGTCCATAAAATGGTTTGTTTTGGATTGTTGCTCCTATTACTTCATTCCTATTACAGCCATTGATTGAGATTGAGAAAAGGGATCAAGGGAATTAAATAACAGTTATTCTTTTCTTCTTTCAGTGTCAGTTCAAGAGTCTGTGACTGAAGATGTTTTCATATGCCCCAGCCTAAGTTTGTTCTATTTCTAGTGCACCCTTTTGTTTAATTCATCAGTATAAATACATAGAGAATGTTAACTTTCCATTGAATTTTTGGTTGCTTAACAAAGGTTGACATGACAGAAGTTTTATCTTAGTTGCCTGTAAACTTCTAATCTTGCAGTTCCATTATTGTTCTCCCTTTAAAACAAAGGCTTTAATCTCTCTAATACGGGCGGGAAATTTAATGGTGTAACAAGTATGTTATTATTTTTCTTTTAAAAAATAGTAAAAACTACCTTAATGGCTTTATCGTTAATGTTGAATAGTAATTTTATAATTACCACACAAAATCTTATAAGAATAGACCACTATTTATTTTGTCTCTTGACTCTGAGCAAGACAAATGTAAAACTTTTAATTGCTTGAACTGAATTGTATTGGTAGTTCAAAAGAATTGATAATATAATAAATGAAAGATGAAATCATAATGTTAAAATTCGTTTTTTTAAACTAAAAAAAAAAAAACCAATAAAGTTTTAGTCTTTCTTTGAAAGTTAGTTTTTATTTCTTAAAAAAATGAATACTTTTTCCCCTATTCAAGGGTTTTGTTTTCAAATTACATAACTTTGTAACTTTTATAAATTACATTTTTAATTAAAAAAATTTGTTTTTGAAAGCCATGAGCTTGTGCAATTGATGCATTTTGGCCAAACCAACTTCCATATCTTAACACTTTTTAAAGCACTAAAATACAAAGTAAGTCTATATATCTTTTCTGTTAAACGTGAGTTGGCAAATCTTCAACCGTAAACCGAACATATACCAAGTAAGCGAAAAGCAATCATCATTTTTGCCTTTAACCGTAAACCAAACTCATACCATGTAAGAGAATAGCAATCATCGATTTTGCGATTACATAAATCTTATACCATCAGGAAGCATCACCAAGTGGCTGCTAATATTAGATCAATAAAGAAATTGTATCGTTTTGGTCCAAACTTCGAAGATCCAAATGCTGAATATTTTAGGCAAATTGAAAGTGTAATCTCCTGAGAGCATTATTGCACTTTATTGTTTGAAACAATAATGTATTTTGCTGTATCCAGAATTCTAGACCATTTCCTATGTAAAGTATTTTAAGCATTGGATCAATAAACATCTTAACTTGTAAATATTTAACAATTACTTGTTCTTGTTCATCAGCAATTGGTATATTGGGTATTATATAAGGATTTTAGATGATATCCTTAAGGCACTGGTTATTTAACTGTCAACGAGTCTTTATCATTATTTTTGTGAACGTCCTTTGATCACTATTGTCACTCTTCATGTAAAGGCTGAACTAAGATAGAAGGGCTTTTGAGACACTCTAGAAAACAAAAAGGGTGAAAATGCTTGCCTATAAAAGTGGAGGCTTGCATCATTGTCCTCTTTAACTGAACGAGTCAATAGATTTTAACTAATAAAAATGAATATACTTAAAAGGATGTTTTGAAGAGTGTGTCAATCTCTCTCAAACCAGACATTACTACTTCAAGAAACAAAGCAATAAATTCACGTCAAGCAAACCAAATAACGCCATAGCAACCATGAGTTACTTTAACTTGATGCACTTGTGTCACCCTTATAACACCAAACGAGACATGCTAAACCTAAAGAGCTCAAGTTGAGACAAATTGACGAGCCATAATAGGTTTTGAACGAGTCTAACATATGTGTCAAGATAAAGGTAAATGATACATAGTTAACGAGAGTTCAAACTTCAATGCGATTACATCAATATATAGAACCAAGGTTAATTACATCATGTGTTGAGATAGGGTCCCATGGTACAGCCACCACCAGCAGCATCCATTGGCAGCCATCTTTGGTATTGTCCCCCTAGCAAAACTAACAATTTAACCCTTATATCTGGATCATGTAAATATTTTTTTACACACGATTAGTTCACTATATAAATTAAAATTACTTTATTTTATTCTTTCAATATTTTAAAATAACATACTTTATTATATTTCTTATCCGATCTCTGTTCACTTAGTTATATGATTTGTTATAATTTAAAATAAAATACAATTTATCAATTCATCTCTTGATTAATTTTAAGATAAATGTGTGGAGATCACTATTATATTTTTTTATTTTTTGGTTTAATAAGAAAGTATAAATCTTTTCCATCGAATTAATCAAATAATCAAATTTTATTAATAAAAGAAGATAAATAATATAAAAAAAAGTGATTTAAAATAAATACTTAAATTTATATTATAATAGTATATAGATAGTGAGGAGAATTAGTCTCAATCAATTAAAAATCACTTTAATTATAAATTTTACAAATCAAATCCTCTCTACTTGATCTTGAATTTTATAAATTTTTTTTTCTTGTATAGGAAGGACCAGGAGAGATTTTGAGTTCTAACTCTTAAATAATTATTCCAAAAGTAAATAATTTTATTAGGCAATATACAATTTTATTAGGCATTGTAATAAAATCCTAAAATAATATATGAAAAATTGAGGCATTAATTATATATATAGAACTAAAATAAACTTGGGAGACAGCATATGAATAAGAGTTAATTACCTATACATTGTCAGTGTAAATTTTTTTTACAATGACAACTAATTATATCATGTCATTGTTAAAAGTAAATGTGTTTACAGTGACATGACACAATTAAAAAATATAATTAATTGTCAGTGTAAAATTTATTTACACTAATAGTGTATAAGTGATTAAGTCAATGAATAAAATAACCTTTGGAAGTGGAAGTTGTGTGGAGTCCTCAAAAAATGGAATAACCGGGCGCACAGTCTTCATAGTAAGTGTGCCCGCATTGTAGTTGACTCTCCGCAACAGAAACAAAAACTGAGCTATGAAATGAAACTTTCGCTCTCTCTCTCTCCATGTGAACGTATAAAGGCGCGAAAACGCTGAATACTTTGAATTCTCTCTCGTCGATCGCTGCCACCAACGCCACATACTCCTCTCACTCTTCCTCCTCCTTTGGCGCTTCCACAAATTCACTTTCTAAATTTGCAGGTAGCTACCTTCCACTTCAATTCACATATATTATGCGTGATTTAGATTTCGATTGTTCGCACTTGCACCGTGAATTTTCAGACCTGAACTTCGAATTCCATATTACGCTGTTCGATTATCAGTTAGTTGGCTCTGAGTTTTCGTTTTCTTGTTTGGTTGAAAGAAAAATGGAGAAACTCAGGCCAGCGTGGGCTGTCAAGGCTATCATCGTCATCGTATTCACTTCGATTCTCTTCCAGATCG